AGTAAGGACAGTAAAGGTTTGTTTTATGTTTAAAAAGAAACATTCGTGTTTTAATGCTTCCATTTCTTATATTGTATTCAGTGCCAATTTATCTAACAAATATTAGCCGTTTAATGTAATTAAATAAATAAAGCTTCCAGGAAAAAATCTCTTGTATAACTTTTATTTTCTCAAGGTTTCAGACTTCCCATCCCTTCGACGACAGTCTTCTATACCAGACTGGTGGAAGAGTGGTTTAAAACTGTTCATGTTCCACCGCTACGACCCGGAATCGAATCCCGGACTTTGGCCACTTTTTTTCTAATTAGAAATGCTCCAATACGATCCCCGATTGTTGCAAAAGTCCATATTCACCAACGAGTGCAAATAACCAAACTGGTATTATGGCACACTTATAAGTTCAAAAGTTTAACTGCTTTTCATCTGTATAAACATGTATTGTACTTACAGTAAAAACAGTTGTTTACTACTCTGGTACCATGATTATCATGGCCTGTACACACTATATGTACTAGGTATAATTTTAAAAATCAGCAAAATTGAATGTTTTCATTCTCTACTTACTTCAATCGAATCTCACATTTGTCACTATTTTCGAATTTTAAAAAATGCTCAAATGGTCTCCGATTCTTGCAAAAATTCCAAATCCACCAGTTTTTTTTTCTTGCCCCAGGTCTGGACTTCAAGTCTAGACCAGATCCTGAAGGCCATGCCTCTTTATCGCCAGTGAATGCAAGTACCCAAAAAGGGTTCTAGAAAATTTGTAAGCACAAAAGTCTAACTGCTTTTCACCTTTGTAGACATATGGTGTACTTACAGTAAAAGCAATCACCAACTTTTACCCACCATGATTATCATTGCTTGTGCCACGTATACTATGGATAATTTTAAAAATCAATAAAAGAAAAAACAACGATAAATGTTTTAATCATCTACCTACATCATTTACCTAGAACTTGTAAAGTAAGTGGTGCGTATTAGCGATGTTTCAATTGGACCTAATCACTTTAGGTTGGAATAATCCAATTTGTGGAAGAGAACAAAGGGAAATGATGATGTGTGTAAGGACACATAATTCTATTACGTTCTTGTTACTTGTGTACAGGTAGTACATGTCAAGATAATCATGGTGAGTTATATAGATAGTATAGATTCAAACAGAGAGTCTATTATATATCGATATTTAACATAATACATACATAATATTCAAGTCATGATTATCATTGGGGAGATAACATACTTTTATTGACAACAACAACAACAACAAAGCCTTTATTTAAGGCCTCTCGCCCTATACAGGATTCGCCAGTTCACAAGGGATGGGGAGAACACTGTGTGACCTTTTTCCGGGATATAATCCTGTGGAATCCAAATATCGCCACCGCTATATACCTACTAGCCGAATGACCCGGGCAACGCCCGTGTTTTACCCGATTGAATGTTTTTATTCAAATACTATTTGTTACAATTATAAATTGGCGCCTTATATAAATGCATATATTAGTTAATAAGTATAGCCTATGTGCTTTATCTGTTTATGTACTGTTGGCTTCCGTAGGCGTCTCTTACTGGGAAAAAGAAAGAGAGGATTCCATTTAGTTATTAACTAATATATGCATTTATTTAAGGAGCGATCCGCTCCAACATAATAGTTACAAAAACGAAAAAGCGAGTGGGGGAGGCATGATGGGGGGGGGGGGGCAAAGGTGGCGTGATCGTAGCCAACCAATAGGAGTGCGCCATTCCAAAAAAAAAAGCAAACGGTGACAGAGTTGATTAGGAGATGAAGAATGACGCTCGTAACTGTATATAGAATTCTTCGATATTTCATTAATTAGTGCTAGAAATGAAGGACAAAGTTGCCCCGTTTTATCATTTAGTTTTCGTCTTTCCTCAGACAGAGCAGCATAATCAAATAAGATTGACATCTTATCAATACAAGGTCAAAATGTAAAATCCACACAAATCAAGAAAATTTACAATGATGATTATTATTAAAATATAAACATTAAGCCTCCAGGGAAATGTTTCTTTCTTACATTTATTTG